AGGAGTGAAACTGAATACACTGACCGTGAATACAGACTTTCAAAGTAAAACAGGAAACATGGAGATTAGACAAAACACATGAACCGGGGAGACATAGTACAGGGGAGATGACATAACTGACAGCATGGACTTGACAATATAAGACACGCAGACATAAACACACGAAGGGCAAGGGAGACTTAATACACGGGTGATATGTACAAATGGCTGGACTGCCTTAGTGACCCTAAACAAAGAATAAACATAAAAATAGGCTAAAACACAAAACACTGGGTCGCACGACCCAGGACCATGACAAAACTATTAATAATGGGTTTTGCCTCATAGGCAAGATTTTGTTTCCACATTATTGTCTCCAGTTTCTTGTCAGCTACATAAAGTTCAATGTCATATTTCTTAGCTATTAGCTATAACCTCTGTTGATGTACAAGAACTACTTTGATATTATTTAATATTTTTTGTAATTAAGTGTTCAGTCTCTGTAATAAAATATTAAGCTCAACAGTGTTCAACACTGCACTGAGGTCTAGCAGAGTAAGCACAGAGTGCTTGGTCACTGACAAAGGACCTCACCAATACCACATTATTTCCAAGCTGTAACAGAAAGTGCTACCAATAATTTTTAATGGATTTTTCATGGCTTCATTTTGTTCCTTTTGACTGAGGTATGCAAGACTCAGTCAGAACAGTGACAGTTAAAATAAAGAGAATTGATAACCCCTGTTGTGATACCCAGACAAAACCTGTTTGCAAAACTTTTGTCATTTTGTCTGTTTTGTCTTTGACTTCAGCCATGCACTCCAGTCCAACCCCACCTCCTCTTTACCTGAGCCTCCTTCTCTTTCTGTCATGGAACTCCCCAGTTCTTTCCTGTATGACAGTGAACAACAGCAAGTGTGAGTCTGCTCCATTTGTACCAGGCCACAACCTGATTGGGGAGGGATTTGATGTCATCACCCTGCACCGAAAAGGAGCCTACCTGATTGATATAGCTACTTACCGCAAACCAGATGGCACCTGTACTCTCTGCACCAACCGCAATCAAAACAAAACTCTACAAAAAGTAAATAGATAAACTGTGATTACCAGCAAACTATAGTAGATAGGTTATGTGCACATCTTAATCATGGTGTTCTGTTTTTTTATCTTCAGCTGCCGGCCTCTGTTGTCGACTGGCGTGCAATCAGCCAATGCAAAACCGATATCTCCAGCAGTGCACACACCACTGTTAGGTACAGTATAGTGTAGTATATTTGTTGCTGAAAGGACTTCATCCCAGAGATCATTGTCATCTCATTACTTCACCTAGTCTGTCACAATACCAGTTAGCCATGACAGACACATATTTTTCTTAGATGTCTGGTTGGCACTTTGTCTCTCTCCATTAAAAGGAAACACCAACAAAATGAAAGACTATTAACTTCTTTGTGAGTAAACTTTAATATTCAAAAAAGGATCAAATGATATTTCCTCAACTGTAGAATAAAACTACAAAGATGGGTGAATTGTTACAATACTGGAAGGTAAAGTGATGACCAGGTCACAAATTTCTTGTGTTGATTATCAGCATTTTGAAATCTCATAGCAGTAGGAACAAAAGAACTTCTAATGTGTTCTGTCCTACACTGCTTAGGAGAAGAAGCCTGCTGTTTACATTTCTGACCCTTTAAAATATTATGGAGAGGGTGACTAGTATTTTTTCTCCATACACCTTTCCACAATAATTCCCAGTGAATCCACAGTCCTGCCCATTAATAAGCCAGCCTTCTTCAGTAATATGTGCAGCCACATACTATTCTTACTCACCATACTGCATTCCCATCACAGTGTAAAAAGGGGAGGGCAGTAAAATAGGGGATACTGGCAACAACAGTCTGATAGAATAGAAACAGCGTCTCACTACATACACTGAATTTATATTTATTTGCTGGGGCACACTACAGAAACTCTCTAAATCCTTTAGATTTCTTGGCTGTCATTTGGCAACTCCAAGATTCAGCTCCCTCCACATTTTCTATAGGACTGAGGTCTGGAGATTGGCTTGGCCATCACCTTAATGCTTCTTTTGCATGTTGGAAGACCCATCCATGACGAGCCTTAAGTGTTGTGGCTGACAGAAAAGGGTTCTCGACCGAGATTTTATGGTAAATAAAATCCATTGGCCCCTAAATTTGGTGACGTCACCATTTAGCAACAAAACATCACCAAAACATAATGGTTCCCCTCCATGCTTGACTGTAAAAAAGTTTAAAGAAATGAAACAAGTAAATAAAAAGTAATTCTTCTCCTTCAAATTGTGTCCACAGTTCACTACTTAACTCTAACACTGATCAGGACATCCACGACTGGAAGGTAGGAAGCATCTTGCACTTACTGTTTGTTTCAAAATTACTGTTTGAAACTACAAAATACTGTTACTGTAATTACTTGTTATTAAAACTAATAGAAATGCAAAATTTGTAAGCAACATCGCATGCTGATTTGTTTCTTTTTTTTTCTTTTACAAGTGAAATGTGCACTGAATCAAACAGACTGTAATAACATAAAAACCTTAGTATGCAAGTTCTCAACAAAAGGGCTGATTTGATTAAATTTTGGCTCACTGAGCTGTGTAAATGTGATACAAATATGAATTCCTTGTCTCATTATTTCATTTAATATTTCCAATTTAATATTTTTGATCCCGAGAAAAAAAGTATTATATTCAAAGTAATTGAGTGAATGAATAATAAGACAGTATTTATTATATCTAATACTTTTATCTATTACTTTTATATTACATTGACTGTTATTAAAAACAAAAATGGTAATGAAATTACATTTCTATTTATCAGGCTGGACTAAATATAAATCCCAAATCTACCAGCGTGGGGATTGGAGGAACACACTCCATGGCATATGCATTTGCTACAAAAAGGACCAAAGAGGACCACTACTCCTTCAGCACACACACGGTCACCTGTACTCACTATCGGTTAGCTGTGAAAATCCTGGCATTACCACATATACCACAAGTTTAGATTAACAATATATAATTTCAGTTTTTAATAATTTACTAATCAGTTTCATTCTATCTAGTTACCGGGTATCAAGCAGACCGACTCTTAGCTCTGAGTTCAGCAGGGATGTGGCCAGTTTGCCAAGTCGCTATAACTCCTCCACCAGAGATCAGTACAACGAGGTCATAGATACCTACGGCACACATTACATTCGCAAGGTTAAAACACAGAAACACTGTTAATTAGATTATTTCAGGAGTAAAAACACTTTTTTATTAAAACTTTGTGCTACATTACAGGTTCGTCTTGGTGGCCGTCTTAGACGAGTCACAGCTGTACGAACCTGTTTGTCCAGACTAAACGGATTCTCCTCAAATGAGGTACATGAAAAACATTTGCCTGCACACAGTCACCAGACTGCATATTTCTACTCCATATGAATAAGAACATAAGGGATGCTAAATAGTTGTGTTTTTGTTTGGTTTTTGGCAACAACTGAATAGTGACATCATTCTTATTGCATTTGTATATGAATGCAAGGAGCTTATTCCCTTCCAAAAGATATTCTCTCAGTTGTTCTACTGACCAAAGTGAAAGAAACCATTGTACCTTATCTCTATAATTGTCTCACAGTCCATCAGGAGCTCTCTCTGCTGTGCTGAAAAACCTCTAGCTTCTGTCGCTGCCATTTTCAACATCAACAACAACCATAAACACGGCACCTTTTAACACTTATTTTGCCAAAAGTGTTTGCTTGTCTGCCTTTACATGCATATCAACCTGAGTAACACCCCATACTTAATCCATAGGGTTCATTATGACATCAGCTATAATAGCTTGAACTCTCCAGGTAAGGCTTTCCATAAGTTTTAGGAGTGTGTTCATGGGAATTTTTGATCATTCTTCAAGAAGCACATTTGTGAGGTCAGACACTGGTATTAGATGAGAACTCTCTGCTTTAATTCATTGCAAAGGTTCTGTCAGGTTGAGGTCAGGACTCTGTGTGAGCCTGTCAAGTTCCTCCACACCAAACTCACTCATCCATTTCTTTATGGATCTTGCTGTCTGCACTGGTACTCAGTTATGTTGAAACAGGAAGGGGTCATTCCCAAACTGTTCCCACAAAGTTGGGAGCATGTCCAAAATACCTTAGTGTATTGAAGCATCAAGCGTTCCTTTCACTGGGACTAAGGGGCCGGGCCCAACTCCTGAAAAACAACCCCACACCACAATCCTCCCTCCACCAAACTTTCATGTATTTCACAAATGTTTGTAGCATGCCTAGGTGCTTGATTTTATACACCTGTGATCACGGAAGTTATTGGAACACCTGAATTCAATGATTTGGATGGATTAGTGAATACTTTTGGAAATGCAAGAGAGGACAGATGGTTTGAAAGAGGAGTGAAAGAAGCATCTATGTCCACTGTGAGCGACCATCTTTGAACAGAGGCGGGGGTTTACGACACCAACTCTCTGCCATCTATAATCCAGTTTTGAGATCCCTTCCCAGACGCCTTAACGCCCACTCACATCCTGGGCCATCTGACCTCAGGAATTTGCATGACAAGGTGAGGCCAGGTTTCACAATGAACCCACCTGAAACTCTGGCTGATTGGGGCCCGCACCCAATTTCACACCTTGGCTCAGGTGATTAGAGGATCATCAGGGGTCCTTTTGTCCCTCTGTGGGGGGTCACTCCCACTAGGTTTATATCTGGGACTCTCCACCATTTGACCTTAGAACTGAAGAAGCTTCTCGGATGAGAGGTGAAACGTCTTCAAGCAACTTAAAGAAGTCCAGACGCTTTTCTTTGCAAGCTCCTTTGACTACGATGACCTGGATGACTGAGAACCTTCACAGACATATTTTAGCCACTTCTGCATGAGAACTGTCAGCAGCTGGTTCTGTGACCCAGCAGTTTCAGTTGGTTTTCATCTCTTTTGTTATATTTTGAAGATAATGTGGAGGTTGGGATTATTATTAATTGGCTGTGAATTTTAGTTTAGTCTGTTTTACCCAGGCCTTCTGTGCTAGTTGTTTTGTATTTCTTGTCCACGTGTTTCATATTGTAAACTCTGGGTTGTCATGTCTACGTCTCGCTATGTTTCCTGTTTTATTTTGAAAGTCTCGTGTTTCTTTGTTCAATGTGCTTAGTTTTACTCTTCCCCTGTGACGTTGTTATGTTCATTTGTGTCAGCTGTTTCCCCATGTGTTTCCACTTCCCCTGATCACCTCCTGTGTGTATTTAGTCTGTGTGTTTCCTTCAGTCTTTGTCCTGTTGTTCTGTGTTCTTTCTTTCATGTCAAGTTTCAGGTAGTTCATGATTCATGTTTATATTCATATTTTCCTACATGCACCTGTTCTGATTCATGTTTTTGTAATAGTAATCAAAGTTTAATTTCTCCAGTTTAGGTTCTAGTTTAGTTTTCGCCCCACTCGCCTTTGTTTTGTTTGTGTACTGTTCTTATCAGCCACAAGAAACGGCTCACTTTTTGTCCAAGTCACGTTTCACGCTCCGTTTTAGTCTGCATTTGGATCCAGTGTTCTCTCTACACACCGTCAGCTCCCCACTGTCTGTGACAAGAACTTGCCTGACTTGTTCCACCTGTGACAAAGACACATCCAACCGACTGCTGTTTGAAAATTGCTGATTACTTACATTTACTTACTTACTTATATTTGACATTTTCTTCATTGTTATCTCTCCTTTCTCTTTTTTTCCAAGTTTGTTTTTCAAATTTCTCAACTGCCAGTGGGCATGAATAGCGTAAATCAGGTGAATGGTGATTTCACTCTTGCCTCCTCCTATCCGAAACAGGCATCAGGATTAGGTAAAAAGAGAGAGAGAGAGAGAGAGAAACACCTGCGGACATTTTAAACACTTAATGAATTAACGATCAACTACAAATTGTTTCCACTTCTTTTGGAATAATATGAAGAGTATGGATCTGGATCTGTACACATAATTTACAAGAAATCATGTGATGGTTAGCATTGCCAAAATTTTCAACACTGCATGCATGTATAAGTAATTTGTAACATCTGCATTTTAACAAATATCAATAAAGTGCATTAACAAACAGAAAATACAGACAAAAGACAAAGACAAAGAAAAATAAGTTACCATACCAGGCACAGGGAAATTGACCACACTGTGTACCCTCTGGGAGGAAAGCCACAACTGGCCAATACTGCACAAAGGTCCAGTGACAGAAGCTCAGTTCAGTTTGATTTATATAGCACAGCAAAAGTTGTCTCAAGGAACTGTGTTTATTGTAAGGTAAAGAACCTTCAATAATACAGAGAGAACCAGAACAATGAGACATGAATACCTTTCTTTGTTTAAACAAAGCTTTCTTATTACATTTTAAATTGGCTCTACACCAGGATATTTTTAGGACATTTTCAATAACCCTTGAGTGACACACTTAGTTCACAAGTTCCATGACATGTAGGCCTAACATCACAAGCGCTTCTCTTTGGCATGTGTTCCTATTTAATGGAAGTCCTGCATCTTATGTCTTCTCCTGCCTTCTAGTTACACTCCTGCCTGTCGATGGGTGTCTCCATTGGCTTGGGAAAGCTGAATCCATCTGCTGTCCAAGGTTCTTGCAAAAACCTCCTGGAAAACCGGGATGTTGCCACTAGGTATAGCTCTGGTCTCCACCAACACTATACGGATGTGGTGGGAGGTGATGGGTGGTTGGGAGAGTTTTCACTTGCATATGATGACTCCCTGGGTTTTAAAAACTGGCTGAACAGTCTGAAGGATCATGCAGATGTTGCTTCCTACTTCATTCGCCCAATGTATCAGCTGATACCGAAAGGCACAAAGAAGTCAGGGATGAAGGCGGCCATAGAGCAGTACATAACAGACAATGATGTGAGTCAATCACACAGCCAACAAAATTGCTGGCGGGGCAATTCTAACCTAGATTTCAACTGTTGTCCTCGACAAGCCTGGAGGGGGAAGCTAACTGTGGAAATCATCCAGGCCTGGAATCTGAAAGGAGATCATCTTGGCCCAACTGACAGGTGAGACAAGCATGGTTAGGGATTAGGATTTAGAGTTTTCTAAAGATTTCCGAATCTCTAGGATTTAGAGATTTAGAAATCTGCAATATTATTCATCTTTGTGTCTTTCTCCTACTCACAGCTATGTTAAACTGAGGTTTGGTTCCATCAATCATCAGACTCGCATGATCGAATCAAGTTATCCCCGATGGAATGCTTATTTTGATCTTGGACAGGTCAGTGAACCCTGACTACATATAAGATCAAGGATCATATTGAAGGAATTTTAATACTGCAGGTTTGATGTACTGATTTCAATTTTTAGAACTTGGGCTACTTACATCTTTTATATACAGTTAACTTTAGCTGTTCTTTAACTGAGGTTATTTATTTCCATTTGGTTAAGTTTAAGCAGAACTAATTCTTTCATCAGGTATATTTAAACAATTTAAGGTAATGATTTCGGTTAATATGAATGCTTTAACAATGTCAACCATGTGTCATAAAGTACTGAATGCAAATCTTGCTACTGCACATTTTCCTCCTTATTTAAAATATGTAACAATATGACATATATATCAAAAACACAACAGTGCTACCAGAATTTACATTCTATGAATTAGATGTGAATTACCATTGTCACTATTGTATATGGTACAAAATCTCAAGCATATTATTTGTAGGACAACAGTATATTAAATCCTATTTTTAATGCTTTTTTTCTCATGAAGGTGGACACACACAGTGATGTGTATGTTGAATTATGGGATGAGGATCTGTTCTATGATGATCTTCTGGGATCATGTTCCCGGCGTCCAACTCAGGGGACACGTATATTTTCCTGTTCAGCTGACAGTGGCAGCTATGAGTTCAAGACCACTCTGACCTGCGACTCACATCTCACAGGAGCCTGGTGTCACCAATATACACCATCTGCATAATGAGAAATGCATTTTGGGGCTGCATGTCTTTCTCCTATAATCAATTGTGATAAATCTGTTGATCACATAAGAGTCACATGACTGATGGGTTTTTTCTTTCATTTTCCTCGTATATATATCGTACATATCCATTTTTTTAATTTGATCTTCTTTTCATTTGTCATTCAGTTATTTTTTATATTTTATATACATATGTAGTTTCATTTTTTTCAGATTATACTTGATTTCAGTTTGTCAAATACATGTAACCCTTTTGTTTACCTTCTCAAACAAATAAAAAAAGCAGGGTAATGTTAAATTAAAAAAAGAAAGAAAGAAACATGATAACACAACAAGAAAATATCACATAATATTTGTTAAACAAAAGACTATTATACTTCATGTCACAGTGTGGGCAGGTCAAACACAAGTGCATTTGTCTGGATATACAGATTTTAAAAAGTAGGAATTTCTGGGGAAATTATTTTTAAATTCAGCATCTGGTGATTTTAAAATGTGTATCAATGAAGTTATATACCCTCAAAATTATAACGTGGTGAGTAACGACAGGTTTTGATGGTAATTTCTTAGAAATACTCAGAATACGTTTCTACACCTAGTAGCTTCTTGTGGCTGCTCCCTTACTCACAAAGAGCTGATGCACCCCTGAGGAATTTGTGTCTCCTCCCATTCTCAAACTGTAAAATATTACACTATGAACCCACTACCTTTTTTTATACAGCTTAAAATAGCTTAATTCATTTGCAAATCAAGCAAAGGATTTGATAATGTTTTTGATTTTTATTACTCTTAAAATGTTTTAAAAAATCATTGCCACAAACTAAAAATAAATAAATAAAAGATACGTGTACTGTTGCTGTTTTACTGTAACTAATTTTCAGATAAACCTAATTATAAGGGAATCCATGTTGTGTGAGTGTATGTGTGTGTATCTGCATCCCAGCTGCATTATTTTTTTACTATAAAATATATATATATTATAGTGACTGACAATAATTGTCTCCAAGTTACAATTTGAAGAAGCATATGTAGCTCTACAACACTGCTGGTGAGGCACATTGATGAGAAGGAAGTGTCATTCAAAATAGCAGCAAAGTAGCTTTTAGTTCAGCTAAAGCCTCCAGTCAAAGCTGACACTATCGATAGAAGCTTGCAAAGTAATAGAGTAGTCATGACATGCAGAGGTAGATGTACATTGGTGCTAATGGCAATAGTACTCTCCCAGTTCCCCAGCGGGCCCCGGGGTTTCCATGTTTTTTTGTTTGTTTTATTTACCAAGTTAAACACAAATCCATCAAAGCTGCTTCTAACAGTAAAATTCACCATTCAGCTCACAGTAAAAAATCAAGTAGATCTTCCACTCAGTGTCTGAGGCTGGGTGCTCGGATGTGTACTGGCTGACTCCCTGAGGCTGCGTGGCAGGGCCTGACAGAGCCACGGGCGCCAGGCCCTACCAAGCAGCCGGCAGGAGCACCCAGCTTAGGACCTCGGGCCTCTGGGCCCAGGGGCGGTCCACTCTGCCGTAGCTGGCATGTTGCTGCAGCGCCATGCTGCAGAGTGTTGCATGGCAAGTGATGTAGCAGATTTTTTGTGTCTTTTCTCACTGTCCCTCTCCCCCTGTTTTTCTTTCCCTCTCCTTTTCTTGAACTTCTCTTGTCTATGTCTTTCCCGTTCCTATCCCCGGTCATGTCTGATTGCAATAACTTAAAAGTTATAAATAAATACATACATAAATACACACACACACACACACACACACACATAGAGCACACACACACACACACACATTATAAAGATCAATCAAGTGGACCAGTATGGCAAAGATGTAATGATCCATTTGGGCATTTGGGAAAATAAATCTTTTGGGCATTTTTCTTGGCCCTCAGACAATAATTGTGATTGCTACAGTGCCGAACGGGACAGGCAAAAACAAAGACAATAAAACAAGCAAGATCTACTCGTTTTTTACTAACAGGTGAGGGCATCAGCCACTGGCAGGGCGTGTGGTATGGGAAGATTGGCCCCCACATCATGGGGGGGCCTAAGATGTTTCCAGAGCGGTGGAGCGACTTGACACATAACATAGACAAACAGGCACACAGAGACACAAACATGCATTCCCACCATCATGCACACATATAAAAATATTCAGCACTCGCCCAACATGGAGACAAACAGAAATGAACACTGTACACACACTCCCCAAACATACTCTATACCCCCTGGTCCAGGTATCAGAGGGGCAATCTGCCCCCGGACCCAGTAGATGTTTCCCTTTGCTCTGGGGTGGAGACAAGCAGACCACCCCCGGTTTTGCAGCAGCAGTGAGCCAAATAATCAAGCATGTATATATAAAAGAGAGAAAGAGGTCAGTGCATAGAGCTAATTATAGCTCCTGTAATCTTGAAGTCATTGAAGTCATCTATGAGCTTCAAAGTGCATATTAAACAAATACGTAGGACAGCTACAAAATCTGAGACTGCAAAGCTGAGTGCAAATTTGTTAAATTAGACTGCAAAACCTGCAAGACACTCTCAGTTTAATTACTCCTCTTGCCAGACCAACCGCCGCCATGACTGACACTCTTCTCTCTGTATTCCAGTACCACTGATCTTCCCTGCTGAGTCATGACCCTCTCCCTGAGTTTTTTCACCTAGTTCCAGTTGATGGTTCCCCGCATAGTTCACATAGGTAGCTCATGTCACCCTGGTATAAATCTTCATGGTCTGAGATATGTAGCCCTTCACCCTCTACGCCACAGACTTTAGCCACTGCACAGAGACCTGCCGTCTTTAGAAGTTTTCTGATGACTCTGTGGTGGTTGGATGCATCAGCAGGGGTGATGAGTCAGAGTACTGGGCTGTGGTCGACTCCTTTGTCACGTGGTGCGAGCACAATCATCCACAGCTCAACGTGGAAAAAACCAAGGAATTGATTGTGGAGTTTGGGACCCAGGAAACCCTTGACCCCTGTTTCAATCCACGGGGTCAACGTGGACTTTGTGGAGGACTATAAATACCTTGGAGTATACATAGACAATAAACTGAACTGGTTAAAAAACACTACTGCACTTTACAGGAAGGGCCAGAGTCATCTGTATTTTCTGAGGCGGCTGAGGTCCTTCAACATCTGTCGGACAATGCTCAGGATTTTCTGTGAGTCTGTTGTGGTCAGTGCTATCCTCTATGCTTTTGCATGCTGGGGCAGCAGGTTGAGGGTTGCTGATGCCAACAGACTCAATAAACTGATCCGCAAGGCCAGTAGTGTTGTGAGTATGGAGCTGGACTCTCTCAAGGTGGTGCCGGAGAGGCGAATGCTGTCCAAGATAAAGACAATGTTGGACAATACCTTCCACCCACTCCATGACATGCTGGTCAGTCACAGGAACACGTTCAGTGAGAGACTGAGATTACCAAAAAGCACCACTGAACGACACAGGAAATCATTCCTGCCTGTGGCCATCTCCCTGTACAACTCCACCATCTAATACAATGTAAACACTGCAATAGTTACATTCTTTTCCATACATCCTCTTTTCTTGCTCTGTATGTTGTTGTCTACTTTTTATTATTAAATAATTTAAAAGAATGGAAGTTGGTCAGAGCTCCTGTAACTGGCAGCCTCTCCCGTGGCGACATCTTGAAACAGATTTGAGGCTTTGGATTTCTTCGAATTTGTTTTTTTAGTGGAGTTCATTTCTGGTTGTGTGCAAATGTATTTTCATTTATGTGTGCATGCGTGGAGATCTGAGGTTGGTTGGTAGGGTGGACCTCTGCACATAATCGCATGTGTGTGCAAACATTTCTGTGTTTGGATTTCTTAGGATTTGGTTCCTTTGGTGGACTTCATTTCTGGTTGTGTGCAAATGTTAGAACATTCATGTCTGCATGCGTGGAGATCTGACGTTGGTTGGTCGGGTTGGACCTCTGTGCATAATCACATATTTGTGCAAACATTTGTCTGTTTCGATTTCTTGGAATTTGGTTCCTTTGGTTGAGTTTTGTCTCTGTTTGTGTTCAAATGTATTTTCGTTCATGTGTGCATGTGTGGAGATCTGAGGTTGGTCAGTAGAGTGGACCTCTGTGCATAATCACATGTGTGTGCAAACATTTTTGTGTTTGGATTTCGTAATTTTGATTCCTTTGGTGGAGTTCATTTCTGGTTGTGTGCAAAGTCATGTGTATTCATGTTTGCATGCGTGGAGATCTGAGGTTGGTTGGTAGGGACCTCTTTGCATAATCACATATTTGTGCAAACATTTCTGTGTTTGGATTTCTTGGAATTTGGTTTCTTTTGTAGAGTTTATAGAATTCCAGCATGATTACATTGCTTTGTTTTAGCATTATGCACCAAGTTAATTATTTAATGATGAATAACCCTATTTTTTGCAGTTAAGTCCAACTGTATTTAATTGAGTTGATCCAACCCATTCAAATTATTTTAGTCCAACAAAAATATTTAATCCTAGAAAGGCATTTATTAACATGGAAATCCTTTACATGGTTTTTTTAAAATAAGTTTAAAATGATATTTTGAATTTTGCAAGTCCATGCTACTAACCACTCTTTCTAGATTATATCATCTCATATTAAAGTGGCTGAATTTCATGCAGATCCTACACAATATAATGATGTTCACCATATAAACAGTTGTTTTATTTAAATTACAAGTTATAAATGTAACAACCACCCAATTTTATTTTTTGAGTGCTTTATTCAAAGCATACAAGGATTTCAGTTTGGCACCAGTGTTTTCGAGACTCCTTAGCTTTCCACCTGACTCTGCTCTCTCAGGTAAGTAAAAACATTTTTCTTTTTAGGCTTGAATTGAATTCTTTTTCCTTTTTTTTAACTGCTTTCTACATTATACTAAAAACATCAAATATATTAAGCAAGATATGAGGAATTATGTAGCAAAGAGAAAAAAGATAAATAACTCTAAATATGTCTTATATTTTAGATTCCTCAAAGTAGCCACACTTTGCTTTGTTGACAGCGCTGCAAACCCTTGGTCTTTTGTCAATGAGCATTATGATGTAGCCACCTGAACTGGTTTTCACTTTCACAGGTGTGCCTGGCAGTATACAGCTGACAGCCCTATGAAAAGTGTTAGACTTAATATTATGGCAAGAACCAATCAGCTAAGTGAATAAAAGTGACAGTCCATCATTTCTTGAAGAACTAAAGGTCAGTCAATCTGGAAAATTGGTAAAAATTTTCAGTGTGTCCCCAAGTGCAGTCGCAAAACCCATCAAGTGCTATGACAAAACTGGGCCACATAAGTACCACCCAAGGAAAGGA